ATGGTTTTTACGTTTATTTGATTTTGTAGTTATTAAATAGTTCACAGAAATTACTTAACTTCGATCAATTCATTTTAGATACCTATTAATGACATACACCATACCTACCACAAAATGAAACGTCCCACCATTTTTCAAATTTCGTTCAAATTAAACATAAAATTGGTTAAAAAACATTACACAAATCTAGTCTTTCATTTATACAGTCCTTAAATGATTCAGTCTAGCATACCGTTGTCATTTTGACATAATTTATTCATATTATCTATAATCTATACTAACAAACTTTTGAGTTTGCAAAGATTCGCAAACAAAGATTTGAAACAAGTTGCTTATATTTCTTTAGGTCCCCTTTTTACCAATAAATAAAGATTATCACCAAAAAGACAACGACATACTAGACAGAAGTACCGAAGTAAGACATCCAAACGTTTGAGAAACAAAACAATAATGTTACATATAAAATTAAGAAACCTACTTACCCACATGAGCGACAGGTCATTGGTGAATCCGTGCAAATAAAACAAAGCATGCTATTCCTTACCTTTTTATACTACATGCTTATATAAACTACATAAAGCATGTCACTAAAAGTACTTGATTTGTATGTAAAAGTGTCAAAGAAATACAGCTATGATGAAAGTCTACAATTACATAAAAGTAATTAAGATTGTATAAACGTTATTTCCTTTTTTATTTCACTAAAAACTTAAACAAGAATTCTATATATTTAGTTTGATAAGAGTCAAACCAGATTTATGAATATTTTAATTTACAATGAAAAGAAAACAGTGTTAAAATTAGTAGAGTACTTAAATCTATAGGAAAAGGGTCGACCAAATATTATACAAACAGTTTTAATAACAGAGACATATACAAGTTAAATTGTATAAGAAAACTTGGCAAAATTTAAAACTAAAAAGACTGTTCAGCATCCATATAGATGGATCAAAAGGTTTTAATGAGTTCTTAGCGACATATTACGATATTAACACTTGTACCTGTACCGTCACTTTTTAATTTACTGACTCTTAAAAATGTAATAAGAGAAGCTAGTGAAAGAGCAAAAGAAGAAGAAAGAAACCGATACAATATGCCTGTCTTTGGTAATATTGAGAAGTTGAGTGTTTTTGATTTGTGAATATGTGACAAATACATACAGGGAATGGCGAAATGGTTTATCCCAGCTGTGTGCTTAAATAGCGTAACGGTATAAACGTCACATGTTTGTTACTTTTCTTCATATAATTATTAGGAAGCGAAATTACTTGGGCAATATTTAATTAATAAAACTGTGCTGGATATCTGCCTTTCATTTGATCAAAGTTCATATAATTATTATTTCCAATTTCTGTTGATTTTATTCATCTGTTAACTTTCTATTTAATTTTACTCTTTTTAGTCTAAAAATAGTTGGCACTAAACTCTTTGTATATTTCCCGTATTCTACTGTAGTCTAGCCCTGCACATACATAAAATGTCTATGATGTCTGGGCCCTACTCACAAATTCATACAAAATATTTGTCAGTTGGCAAGTCTTGACTTCCGTCTATCAGTCTTCCCTTCTAAATAATGGAGGTGGTAATGCTTTTTCTGCATCTTTTATCTACTTGAGCAGATGTTTTAGCTTCTAAATTCATATATATATATATATAATATATATATATATATATATATATATATATGTATTATTTAAATCTCTTTAGGGGTAAGTACATTTTAATATCCTTTCATATTTGTAGTCGATAATTTTTATACCTTATGAATATTCTTTTTGGCTTCGATTTTATATATTCCAAGTTCCATGACTTTTTCAACGCATTAAGCCTATATAATTTAAATAATTTGTTTCATAATTATTGTATTCATTTAACCATTAATATGTTTGATATTTGATGCAGTCGCTGACACAAGGTTTCTCATTTTATTTTGTTGGCGATAAACATTTTTCCTTTTTCCTTTGTTGGGTGGAACTTCATGAGCTATATGGTGTAATAAATAACACAGAATAAAAACTGCAACAGCATAGCAGCTACAAAACTCAATTACCTTACAATTCACTCATTCAGCTACAACCCATCCAAGCAGCATCTGAAGCCACCACAAGTTATCCTATCAACTACGTGCAGCCATAAGTATCAATTTCAAATTTTTGAAAAGCTTTAGGCAGAATTTGCTATGTTAATATTAAAATTTCATTTTATTTTTTGCATGTACAATAAATTAATATCCTGTTTTACATGTCCTTGGCAAATTCATTTTTCTAATTTGTATTTAAGATAAAACCACCAACTTTCTAAGGGTAGTTATACTGTACACATTGGCGCCCAACGTGGGCATCAATTTGGGATCTACAAAGGATGAAATATAACAAGTGAAAGCAGATAACTACAACCTTCAAAGCGCCATTTTTTATTCAGTTTAATGCGTCGACAGCTAATGGTCATTGGCATGGTACAGTGAATTTTTACAGTCAGGTACGTGTGTGTGTGTGTGTGTAGAATAATTTATTGTCTTTATACTTAGCAAACAAACTCGACGTCATTGTCTTTGCTAAGAGACGCTAATTGTATCCGAACGTATGCGGTCCCTCCGGTGAGTACCGATCGCACAAGGATAGAAATTATTTTTATTTATTAATTTTTAATAAACGAAAATTTCTCCACCCAGGTGAGATTCGAACTCACGACCTTTAGGTTCAAAGGTAGGCGCTCTTACCTCCGAGCCACAGAGGGGGTATAGGCAGAACTTGCTTTGTGTTTTTTTATTTAATATTAAAATTTCAATTAATAAATATGATTATTTAATAGTTGACTAGGTTTCTAGTTTTTACCTGTTTTAGTTGTCCCAGCCATGCTCATTTTTCAGATATCCATTAAATATAAGACGAACTTACATCTGAAAGACTGAGCTAGTCGAGGCCAACACAATTGGCTCCCAACGTTAGTTGGAGTTTTATTGTAACACATTGGCTCCCAACTTTCTGAGGGTAGTTATATTGTTACAATAGTACTAAAAACTCATGGGCGTAGAGTCTGTTGAAATCTATTTGAAATACCAACAAACAGAAAACAAATTTCGTGTCTTCATGTTAAATTGAAAGTAAAAAGTCATGTGTTGCAGTAGGAACACCAGATTTAGAATAAACAAAGATACGATGAAATATATGCACAAAGAAAGACACAAAATTCGTCTATTGTCAACAAAAATCTCGTCAAATCTCTTTATCTTCTTTTCCTTCCCTTTCCTACTAACAATTTTATTTGATATTGGGCATTCGCTGTACATCATCGACATCACCATTGCACAGCTTGTAGTGGCACTGCTGACCATATGATTCTTCAGTTGTTTCGGTGACCCTAATATTATGTCCTATAAATCCAGTGTGTCGTATTCCTTCTGATATCATCCTTCCAGTCCAGTTCCACTTCATATGTGCATTCGTTTCCACAGCATTTATGATCCTTGTTCTGGGCAACTCTTTCTTTCTTTCCACAGATTTTTTATTATGTGTTAAAATTTCTGCACCAGAAAGCAATACTGGAAGTATACATTGATCAAAAACGTTCGTTTTTAGATATATTGTATCTAAACTGTATCTAAATGATATATTGTATATAATACTGTCGTATTGGCGCCTTTTTTGAAGTTTAGCTGTATTCAGTATTTCACGGTTTTCTTGGTCAAACTGTTATCTATCTGTTATATCTCTATTATCTATCTTGTATTCATATCTTTATCCATCCCAATGATGCTCCGAGACAGGAACATCACACCAGCTTTTCAACAAAAATATAATACAATAAATGTACAATTTTAAGGGTCTTTTTAATTATATATTATTATTATATAATATAATTATATTTGTCGGTTATCTTTGTGAGCATACTAATTGTGGGGTTTCTTTCTTCTCTGTTATATCTGAAAATCTACAGGTGCAATGTATGAGACATCCAGAGAAGTATAACCTTCTAAACCTCATAATCCAGGGCAAGACCGCCGGAAGAAGAGATCGAGGCCGAAGACCTGGCTCCGAAATCTCAGAGAGTAGTATCAAGACACATCCGCTAATATGTTTCAATTTGTGTTAATAAAAAAGGTATTGCATGATCGCCAACATTTGAAAATCAGACAAGATACTAAAAGAACAAAAAGACAGGCACAATACAAAGCAAAAAAACAAAAAGAAAGCCAAAACAAGAAAATTTTTTAAATATTAGGGATAAAAGTTACCAAAGAAACCAAGTATTTGCCAAGAGTTAATTGATTTCCCTAAAATGGGTATTTTGAAAGTGCGCATCATCATAATTATTGGTAAACTTCTTCCTTTATTTAAACCAACCCTATTTCCACAAAATGCACATTCTGTTTCTGAAAACAATTTGGAGAATGTTACGAGAAAGAGGATTTCTTTCTGAAGTTTAGTTTCCATTTGAGATTATGCCAGGCATATCAAGACGATGTGGAAACGATAACTGTCTACCTCTAAGTTACTAACGCTGCCGTACGGTAGTTAATACTGTCCAAATTGCTACAACGCAAACATTATATCATTAATAAACATCGGCTGCGAAACTCTAACCTTTTTGATATTGCAATTTAGGTAAACATTAAAGAAAATCTAAAAAAAACAAACTATTAATTTCATAGAACATTATAGTCGTTACTGAAGCTGTATTTCTTTGATTTAGCCTAAAATCTAAACCCAAAACCATAACCGTTAAGATTCTGCATACCTTTGTTACTATGAAATCAATATTGAACCGTAAGTTCCAAAATTTCAAATAAATATTAATTATTGTAAAATAGGAGCCAAGTAAATCTTAATTATACCAAAAAACTTCTGAAATGCAAATCAAGAACAGCTAAAAAATTACGTAACTTCATGTTTTATTTTAAACTATGATTTGGTAGTTGATTTAAATTATAACTTTGTTTAATTTCTATTTTCCATAGTAACACTGGTACGCCAACTTCAATGTCTTTGGAAGTGCTATACCTTCGTAATGGGGCCCTGAGGTGTGCGTAGTGAAGATGCCGAAGAACCAGACGTGGGACTAGACGCCGACGTTTTGGGCTTGAACGCCGTCATAGTTTGCGAAACCCCGTCAGCTAAGATGAATTGCTCGCGCAGCTCTATATTTGTGCGTCCTTTGGCTGTTGCAAGTGTGTGAGAGAAACGGGATATGGAGAAGGTAGTAGGTGTGTGGATTCAAATGAGTGGAGCAGATGAATAGATGACGGTGGTGCGAAAATAATGTATGTGTAGTAAAGAAAATGGTGAGTGTTAGAGATATGATTTAAGAGAAGAAACAGAAGTAAGTGTAAAATATGTATAGATATGAAAAAGTGTGAAATTATGAAAAAGAGAGAGATAGAGTGAAATTAGTGTAGAAAGTAGTTTTATAGTTAGATTGTGTAAAGATGTTTAGAGTGATGAAAGAAGAAGATGGTAAGGTTGAGGATAAGGATAGTGTGGTAAAGGAGAAGAGAAAAAAACAAAACAAAATAAGCAAAAACTCCAACTATTTAGATCTAATTTGTGCATTTTATGTGTAAGTAATATGTTTCAACCATTAGGTACATCATGAATTAAATCATTTTTTCAAGATTATTATATTCTTTAAAAATATTATTAAGAACGTTATAGAACTGCTGTATTCTTACCAGACAGTTATTATCTACTGTTACAAGTATCGCTTTATTGATATTCTATCTTTTTAGACGGCCATATATTTCGTCATAGAGTATGGACTGTATTTATTTTGTCTCTACCCTTCCCAAAGCTGTGAAATTTATCGTAGTGAAGGGAAACTTCATGCTTAGTCACAGTCACTATTAATGTGAGGTTGGACCGATTGGAAGGTATTGACGGCTCAACTTCGGATAAAAAGTCTTCTCCTGGTACGGTTCTGTTGGGAGTGACAATTTGGACAAAATGGACTAACAATAAGCAACCAAAGATGAAGGTCAGCACGGACCAAAAACCGTTCAGCGAGCAGATATTAGCGGCGCAACGAAGAAGTAATGTTTGTCCACAAACATAGATGGACAGATACCAGAAGATTTTTCAGGTCGCAATGTGTGACACATCTAAGAGTCTTCCAGAAATCCGAAGTTTTCTTGGAATGAAATTTTAAAATATTAACGAATTCGCTGTGACACTACAAAATAATAGAGAATCAAGACCATGGCATATTTCATAGATGAGTTTCAATTTGTTAAAAAAATACATAACATTTTAAAATATATGCAATTAAAATGAATTTTGCAAATGATATTGCTGTAGAAAAAATACCCAGAAGATAAAAAATACTAATATAGAAAAACAAACCAAATTAGGGTGGAGAATGCCAAAGTAGTAAAAACGGTGATATATCTAGACGGTCTGAGGATATCTAAAGGCGAGCTCTAAACTACGTAGTACTCCGAACAGAACAGATTGATTTGGAAACTTCCTATTCCCGATACAACGCGTCCCAATGACTATAAGGGACGTTTTATGGATAAGAGGCGTCCAATGGATATATAGGACAATAGAATAGGTCATCATCAACTAGCCTCTAACGTCCACTGCTGAACATAGGCCTCTCGCATGCTTTTCCACTTAGTCCGATTTTGCGCCATCTGAATCCAATTTGTAGTCACTCTTTTTATGTCATCTGTCCATCTCGTTGGGGGTCGATCTCTATTTCTGTAAGCTTGTATTCGGGGTCTCCATTCCAAAATTCTTTTTGTCCACCGGTCATCAACTGATCTTGCTACATGACCTGCCCAGTTCCACTTTAGTGTTGTTATCCTTTCAATAACGTCTGCTACTCCTGATCTTTTGCGTATAGTAGCATTGGGTATTCTTTCACGTAGAGAAATCCCTAACATAATTATCTCCATTGCTCTTTCCGCAACTTGTAGTTTACTCACTGTTGTTCTTGCGAGCGTTAGGGTTTCTGCGCCGTAGGTCATCACTGGCAAAATACATTGATTAAATACTTTTCTTTTCAGACACATTGGAATCTTAGACCTAAAAAATATCCTTCATCCTTCCAAATGCAGCCCAAGCGAGGTTTATTCTTCTTTTCAGCTCGATTGTTTGGTTGTCTCGACTTATTCTGATCTCATGGCCTAAGTATTTATAGGAGTCAACTAGCTCAATATATTTGTCTTCTACTGAGATGTTTTTGTTGTGGACTAAATTTGTCATAAATTGTGTTTTTGAAAAAATTATTTTAAGACCAACTCTTTTTGTGGCAGTATGGAGTTCTTGGAGCATTATCTGTGCCTGATCAAAGCTTTCTGCAATAAGAACGATATCATCTGCAAATTTAAGGTTATTTAAAAATTTTCCATCTACATTGATGCCCTTTTCGTTCCAATCTATTGTTTTACAAGCGTATTCTAGCAAAGTTGTAAATAATTTAGGAGACATGTTGTCTCCTTGCCGAACGCCTCTTTAAATACGAAAAGTCCCAGTATCTTCATTAAGTCTTACACAGGCTGTAGCATGTTGATAGATGTATCTGATGAGAGATATGTATCGGTGATCTATTCTACATTGTGTTAGAGCTTGGAGCATTTCACTTTGATTGACCGTATCAAATGCTTTTTCAAAGTCGACAAAGACAAGTATCAGGGGTCTATTATATTCAATGGTTTTTTCAATCAACGACTTAATGGTTTGCAAATGATCATTTGTTCTGTATCCAGCTCTAAATCCTGCTTGCTCGCAATGTTGATAGAAGTCTAGTTTTGATGTCAACCTATTAGTTATTATCTTCATAAACAACTTATAAACGTGAGATAACAAGCTAATAGGTCTATAGTTCTTTAGCTCTGTTATATCTCCCTTTTTGTGCATGACTACTATAACAGCTTTATTCCACTGAGATGGTGTAACCTCGTTTGAAAGGCATAAGTTATATAATTGCGTCAATGCTTTCATACTGTCTTTCCTCCTGCTTTAACTGCCTCAATAACGATTTGATCATCACCAGTTGCTTTATTGTTTTTCATTCTATTTAATGACTTTAAGACTTCTTCGATTGTTATTTCTGGGATATCCTCTGAACCCACATTCTGGACTTTTCTCAACTTGGTGCCGTCTTTCTTCCCCCTTTCTCTATATAATTCTGTGTAAAATTCTTCAACTATCTTAATTATCTTATCTTTATCTGTTACCACTTTTCCATTTCGATCTGCGAGCTTAACAATGTTCGTCTTACCTAGAGCTTGACATCTCTTCAGCACCTTTAAACTTTTATTTTTCTCGACAACCGTTGTAATCTTTTTTGTGTTATATTGTCGTACGTCCTTTCTCACTGCTTTATTAATATCTTTATTAAGTTGTTGTAGTACGCGTGCTTTCGTATCGTTTTTGTTCTTAAGTTCTCTTCGTGCCTCCATAAGTCTTTTTGTTTCTTGACTGATCTTTTCCTCCTTATCTCTCCTAGAATTTGTATTGCACTTTTTCTCTGCGTTCTTAATAGCTTTTATTAAGTTATCATTTAAGGTTTCGATATCCATAACGTCTATATTTGTTGTCTCTAGACATCTCAGAATTTCCTCCTCAAAGGACATGGTGTTTTCGATTGGATTCCATTCTATTGGGTGTGTTTTTGTTATCATTTTGTATCTTTGTTTTTGGAGATTTAGCACGATCTTCGCTCTTACCATTCTATGATCACTTCCCACTGAACAGCTATTTAGAACTGTTACATCATGGATCATGTCTTTGTTGTTGGTTAAGACAAAATCAATTTCATTTTTGGTGACTCCATCTGGACTTGCCCAGGTCTCTTTTCTGTTTCAATAGAATAGGTGTGTAGGCACAATTATTAACTTTACGCGTGCTATTATGTGTGCCTAAGTGATGACTAAGAGAACTCGCCAACTCTGGGGATCGTAGCCTTGGCACAAGATGGGAACATTGCTGTGGCTGACAACAACACGTACCAATGCGTGGAAATAAAACAAAAAGGAATGGCCCAGAATGAGACTAAAAAATAAGTGTCTGACGGAACTTGTTTTCCAATTTTCCTGTCTGACGAGTGAAATGTTTCGGAAAAGTTAGAGGAAAACGCTTCAGAACTAAAAAAAAAGTCGCAGGGGGAAACCGTGCCAGACTCTGCTTAATGCAGCGATACTCAAAGTTTGGAGAGAGTCTCTACCATAATTTTTTTGTCGATTTACGCTCGTAACAATATAGGCTTCATAAAATTAGCTAGCTGGTCACGTAATAACAATGTATGATGATCAATTGTCAAAAGTCCTAGATGGTAAAATTCAAGGCAGAAGATGAAAATGTGGGCCACGGAAAAGATGGAAGATGTGCGTCAAAACTTTGAGACCATTACATTCTCTACATAACCTCCCAACGTGAAACTTTTTGCTAAAATTATCTATTTAACGCCTGAAATTCTAGGCAATACCTGTTTAAATAATTAAAATTATATTTACTCCCTACAAAATTTTATAAAACAAATCATAACTTTTATGATTTGTAAAAACGAACAACGACATTTAGATAGTAATATATACTCTATTTGTATTTACCAATTGTCAATAAAAAACGTTTTTTTATTCGTTTATAATGATAGGTTGAAAAATATTACTTACTGTGCTTAAAACCAAACAAGAATTGCAAAAAGGCATAAAATTATAAAATAAAAGTCAAATGTAGAATTACTACGCCTACTTAAATACAGAAAATAATCAGAAATTAAAAAAACCAATGAAAAAAATAAAAATTTTGATGGTGTTTAATAACCATAACCATGCTTTAAAAGAAAATAAGGTTAATTGCCACAAAAGTTTAATTTTTAGCTTTCCCATACCTTAAGTATTATTGATTTCAAATCCCATAAACACCACTTTATAATAATATTTATTTACAACGGTTTGTATCAATATCAACTTATATGTGCGCCTGTAGGACTACGAGGTATATCAGAGCAGGATTTCCAGACAATAGCCTTATCAAAAACATATTCCACTTGTTCAGAGACATTTTCTGGATAAATATTGCAAACAATAAAGTAGTTCCCTGCGATTTTGACCAAGTCGTGCACAATGGATTAAATATATTTCTAGAAGTGACAACACCTGATACAACTTTTATTCTGTTGAAATACGTTATAGATCTAACTGGTCTCTTTTCATTC